TACGGACGTGGCATGATTTTGGAGAAATATTTTTTGCTGAGTTGGATAGCCTTAGGAGTCCCAAACAAGTGCTTTCATTTAGTATATAGATAGATTAGTAAACAGATCATCAGTTTTTAACTGAGTAATCTTTATTATATGTAATAGATTGAATTAACAATAAATTTGATTAAATTTCAAATTTATATTAATAGTATGTTACAGTAATAGTATATTTGTTTAAATTCATATATTGTATATTTTGTTTTTTTAAATTATTTTAGAAATGATGGTGATATTTTGGAGAAAGTAAAAAATAGAAAGTTTAATATAGACATTATAATTTCTAAATTAAACCATATATTAAAATTAGTTAAAAACTATTACAATCATATGAGGATTGAAATGAGTGGAAGACATAAGAATTGTTACTTGTACAATAGTTGTATGTAATTTATAATGTATAGTATTTTTTCTGGTATTTAATTCGCAATTTTAATAGAGTAAATTTATGCATTATTGTAAAAACAATTTCACATAATAGTTTTTGAATAAAAATATGTTTTAATTTTTTTATGTAAAATTATATTTTTAATCTGATTATTAAATCAAATAAAAATATATATTTGTATGTAAATATTAATATAGAACTTATCACATAATGTTTATTTTAAATGTACATTTTTAACTTTGATGTAATAATATATATTTAATTTGATTTTTCTTAAATTGAATGCAATCATATATTTGCATGTAAATAATTAGCATACAATTTTATTAGAGTGAATTTATGCATTATAGTAAAATAATTTTTCACATAATAGTTTTTAAACAAATGTTCATTTTTAAACTTTTTATGTAATAATATATTTAATTTGAATTTAAAAAAATTGAATACAATCATATATTTGCATGTAAATATTAATATATAATTTATGAAATATTAAATATAATCATTAGGATATTTATCAAAATATTGTCCATATAAAAATATATATAATTTAATAAATTATATGAAAACTTAAACATATTTTCTTGGATTATAGACTTAATTTGTTTTATCATTTTTTAGTTCATGTAATATTGTATATTATATATTTGCATAGAAAGATAAATAACATGTATTTACATTAAATGTTAGCCTAACAAAAATATATAATGGCATATCATGTACTTAGACTAGTAACATAAGTGTTTTTTTAATGTTTTGTGAGAAGCTCTACGGTGGTGACACATCTATACTAAATGAAAGGAAGAGTTTGAGGCTCTTCAAATCATCCATATCAGAAAAAAACATTTATATAATCATGCCACATCAATAGACTTCTAATAAAAATAATTCTTTAATATGACATACTTAAAATTAAATAATATTTAATCAATAATAATAGTAATATTTGAATATTAATTAAATTATATATGCTGTAGTAACAAAACATATATGACATATAACATAATTTTAACAAAAAGAAAAATTAATTATATGTTTAATATTTTAAATTCTTACAGTCCAAATTAATAATGTTCACACATTTAAACTAAAAATTGATACAATATAATATAATGAGATATGGAGTTCGTCCACACAATAATAAGAAAACTTCCATTTTAATTTTTTTGAAATACACATAAAATATTTTAGAAAACAAATTGCTCCAAAAAAATAGTTAATAGAAACAAAGTTACAAGATAGTAATTTCTAAAACAAAACTGAAAACATTCACAATTTAGAAAAAACTAAAACATTCGCCTTTTACAAACATACATAGTATATACATAACAAATAAATAATTTTAAAACAAAATTAACACAACTGTATTTTACATATTTGGACACAAAATTGTCTATTGTCTCTACAAAGATAAACTTATAAGATTTTATTAATACAATACTTATTAAAAAAATGTACGCAATACATTTACAGAAAAATATACTAGCATAATTCTATTTTAAACATTAATATATTACATTCCTATATTTGAAAATAGTATATACATTTTTATGTAAAAGAAAATATCATAAAAACATCATTAACCATCCACATCAACAAAAAAGAAATTTCTTACAAACTGAATATGTAAGAAAAACTAATATGATTTTTTCTTTTTGGATCTAGAAACTTTTTTAAAAATAATATGATATATATTATTGATTTAACTATAAAGACTCATCAATATATATATATATGGTGTAAGAAAAATATATAAGTTAAATTACAAGCCAAATGCAAATGAATCTTTTAACACCAAAATTTTTGAGAATCTTGACATACTTTGTTTAATAGAATGAGTTTGATGTAGACCTGGATGGGCTCCAAGTATACTCCCTTAGAAATCAATGCTTTGAAGCTAGTTGGTAGACGAATGGCTTGATGATTGATAAACCTTTTGTATTTGATGAGCACAAGGGTTAAAAAAGGGTTGGAGCATCAGCAATAGAGAGTCCCACATGAGACTCTTCCAATTAATACAAAAAGAAGTTTTTTTTTCTAAAAAACGATTTTCAAAAAATAAAAAATAAAAGTAAATAAACAATTGACCAATCATATAATGACACCTGTTAAGAAAAAGGAAGAGTCGACTCCTGCATCTCTATGCAGAGAATTGATTCAGTCTGAGAAACTCTCCACATCATTTCTTTTTTATTTTTTCCTTTTTTTAATTTAAGATCTGTAGGAGATCTCTCCATTGTGGCTGCTCTTAGACTCTAACTCTTCAACGGCTAATCCTCACAAGAATAGTTAGCTTCTACACAATTTTAAAAGAGCTTTGATTCCACAAAACAAATCTTTAAATTTGCAGGAACAGATTTGATGCAAAGAGATTCTTTGAAACAAAACAAATACTTTTCTTAATAATTTCTTGGTTTTCTTGTAATGAATAATTTAAAGATCTTATATAGAGCTCGACCTAAAACAATATTTAAATAAAATAAACCAACTTAAAATGCAAATAATTCAGCATAAATAATGGATCAATCAAATGTTTGATTGGTTTGGTCTTTAATGCTCGATTGTTGGCCAAATGAGGAAGGCTTGAAGGTTCTTTGTATCTGGACAACTTCGGCATGAAGTGATGACGCCTTGAAAAATTCTGGACTAAGAAATTAGTCTCCAAACAAGCTGTGTCGAATAAATCAAACAGATATATCCTTTGTACCAGATTTGATAAAATTGGCTCTGGATACGGTAAGTTTAGTTGTGAAGTGATTTGACTGATCCTCTGCCTTCTGATGTATGGTAGGACGTCATTTATAGCTTCTAAGTGATTAGGAAAGTCGCCTGGTCGCCACATATAAGTTTGACAAGTGCTAAACCGATCATGAATAGCACTTTCCCGGAATAGAACCAATTTGAACCGTTTTGGGAGATTGTGCATAACTTCAGAACCCAGTGGGAATAGCTCTGGATCTTAGGCTTGATGGAACCAGGAGAGACCCAGTAATAATCTCCAAGTGGTCTCGGGTCGAGAAAGTTGCTGAATTAGGCTGTGCAGCTCGATTTCTGGCCTAGTCGTGTAGTTGACTCCAAAACAAGTCAACCTAATTGTAGAATCAATAACTTCCACGTCTGAACCGTTATTTATGTGAATCCAATTCGAGGGGATTCTCTGTTGAACCATGATTTCATAACAATTCGTTTTGTAGCTTGTTTCCTCCCAGTCTGGTCGAAATCCTCCATTTAATGCATGTATGTCCGATTCGACTAAGCTCGAGATCACTGGTTTTGTAAGTTGAATAACTTCTTCATCATAATCTTGATTTGGATGATTCAACTTCGCCGGGAATCATTCTTGAGTCAAGCTTCTGGAACAGATTTATTTGTTGCACTCCTTCTGGTTGGCTAGATATGCTCTATCAAAGGCACATGTATCCTGAACGGACCCTTGGTGGTTAGAGTGGTATCTTTGATGAAGCTCTGGTTCAGATACTGGTTTGATGACTGCATCAGAGTTAGTATAAAGTTGTATTAGTATATGTATTATTTGCTTTATTCATCTACATATTTTTTTTTTGGTCCAAGGTTTATTCATCTACATATTTTATAGTTTACAAATGCTTCAGAGATCAAATCAAAATTGCAGTTTATCAGTATAATTGTTATTTTTATACTATGTAAATGTTTTTTTATTTGTATGAACAATAGTTCTTTTAAGGATTTGTAAAAGTTTTAAATATTAACTGTTGTTTTGTATTTGAGACTGTTAATGAAAAAAACTACATGTACATAATTGAAATGAAAAAAAAAATCCAAATTAATTGGAATAATAATCAGGTGCTTCGGTTGTAGTCATATGTTTGATAAGTTATTTTCTTATTATTTAAAATAAAAATAATTTTTTTAAAATTAAATAAAGAAAAAACTTATAGTTGTTGAATTCAATTATATATCAAATTTAGTTAAAACAAGATTAATTTTGATAATATTTTGAAAGTTGTTGTATGAGTTTATATAGAAATATTAATTTTTAGATTAACAGTTAATTTTTATATATATCAAATTAGTAAATTTTTAAATTAAATCATAATATATTTTTTTAAATAGGTTAAAAATATTTCGATGTATAACCGAGTCAAAAATATTACAAATCAAATATTATATTTAAAATATTAATTTAATACTATAATAATTTACTACTATAAATAATAATTAAATATTTATAAAAACAACCCGCACATAGCGCATAAACATCCCTAGTCATCATAGCACCATTATTAATACTTACAAAACTATAGTCATTCTCTAAAAATAATTATCAATTAATATATAGGATTTCGTGTACCGTAAGTATAACATTTCAGTACTATAATCTCAAATCATTATTCAGGTACTACATACATGATGCATAGACCAACAACGAAGTACACATATAAATGATTAATGACTCCATAAATTTGATATATCTATAACACAATGAATAAAATCGTATACATAAACCTACAAAATATCAAATGGAAAAAAAAGAATCCAAAATTGCGTAGAAGTAGGACAAACAAGAACAAGTGTAGAAAGAAATGAGAAACTAGGCGTCCTGGTGATGCGGTCCAGTGGTGGTACCATTGACGCCATTAGAATATTTGCTTGTAGTCGGTGCAGCAACCGTGTTCCCTGCACGGCTCTTACGGCGAAGAACGATGAACCAAGTAAGTGGCTCAAGAATCAAGACGCAAGCACCAAGAAAGATGAGGATTCCAATATAAGCCCAACGCCATTTATCAGCCGGGTCCAAAATATCGAACCCTTTAAAGATGTTGATAATAGAGAGGATGATAGTTGTGTAACCAACGGTGTGATGGTACACGTTCCAGTAGAACCGATACTTGTTGTCTGGCTTTGGACGTAGAAGCAGAGCAAATACTTGAAGTGTAGCAAATGTGAAGAGTGCGATTCCAAGGTTACGATGTGTTGAGTAAGATGTGCCTGGTGAGTCATTGCCAAGCTTGATTCCGGTGGCCCAACCGGCTACGCCGATGACATAACCGGAGACTTGGAATGCGATGTGGAGGTAGAACCATGTTGGGTCGGTGAAGACTTTCATGTATCGAGCCATCATTGCTCCCAGCGGCATTAGCACTCCCCAGCTTACCGCATTTAGTATTCCGTGAGTCTGGTATATCCCATTAGTAAAAATGTTTAGTTATAGAATTAGAAACTTCACATTTCGAAACAAAATTAAGCCACGTAATTAAAATGTTACATATGTTATTTTTGATATTGAAAGGGAAGACAGATGTTTCTAATAAACTTTTATTTTTCAATGGTTGTTAAATAAATTAGCTCAGAATGTTCAATGGTTGTTGACAAAATGGATAAAAATGTTCAATGGTTTTGAATTAGAGAGAGAGAGAGAGAAATTAGGACACGTAACTGAATTTTTCATGAACTCTAGTAATGTTCTAATAGTAATAAATACTGTTCCAATATCAATTTTTGATTTTGAAAAGCGGAGACAGATATTTGAGTTTCTTGAAAGTGAAACCGTGACGAGAAGCCCACTTTCTTTTTCAAAGAAAAACTAACAAATGCGTCGTTCGTATATTTGACTAACGTGGAACTTCTGAAGAAATATATTAATAATTTAATTTAATGCTTGGCTTAAAAAAATGCCATCATATCATTTTCTTATCTTCAGCAGACTGATTTGCATGTTGTTGACAAACACGCGAAATTTATGTTTGTCATATTATTACGGCAATTATTTGTTTTGACAAAAATTTTTTTATTAAAATATAAAAATCAATTTAAAAAAAATTTCCCCAGCACTCTTGGTTTATTCCATTAGATATTTTTTTTATTGCATTACTATTAAGCATTTCCCAAACACCAAAATTCTAAAAAAATACCACAAAATTTAAAGTTTCATAAATTTCTTAAAAAAGTAAAAATATAGAAACGATTTAATAACTTTTAGTGAAATTTTAAGTATCCTTAATAAACATAAATTTTAGAGTAAATTTATAAGAAAATCCAAAATAATAAATATTCAAAGGTAAATGTACTTCTATTTGATTAGGCGTCTAATATTATTCTAGCTATGGGGCGGAGAACATCTAATGCTATTTACTTATTTTTGTGGTACGTTGTTAATAAGTTAGCTTTTTTAAATTGCTAATTTCTATAATATTATACCGCTTAAAAACTTCTTTTAAAATTAACCGAAAATAATAATTCTCAAATTCGTGCAAAGTATATCAAACATAAAGTGAAGCTAGGAGAGAGAGAGAGAGAGAGAGAGAGAGAGAGAGAGAGAGAATTGGACTTACATTTCTCTTCTTCAACCTGTCACCAGAACCACCACCGGTAGCCGATGACTGTCCCGACCGGAAATCGATCCGACCGATCGATCTCATATTATCTCCCGTCTGTTGATGAATCCCAGGAACACCATTCGCGACAGGCCCCACCTGCCAAACCTGGTTGGTCGTGATCAAATTCGCCGGCAACTCAAGAGTCGCAAAGATCGTAGCCTCACCGTTGACCAAAGTCGCCGAGATGCGGCTCACACCGAAACTAAGGTTCCCGGGTTCGAGCTGTGTGGCATAACCATTTACTGGAGAGGTATAAGCTTGGAATTGGCCACTGGAATTTGTGTAGGCGACGAGAGCTTGTGTCCCCGACATCTGAGGCCCACCTGGGTTAAGTCCCCAAGCAATCCAAGAAGAAGAAGAGGTTCCTGGGTGACGAAAGGCTACTGAAACGGTACCGTTTTGGTCGTTGTAGGTCCAGTGGAGGAACGAGCCGAGGAACTGGAGGGGAGAGCATTGAGTGAAAGCGATGTTATTGGCGAATCTGTGCGTGTCACAGCCTGATTGGCCGTTCACGGTTAAGATAAGAAGTATTGTGCTAACTGCAAACAGAGTTGCCTTTGGAGATTTTGTTCCATCCATTTTTTTTTGTGTTCTCCTCTTTTTCTATTCCTGGCTTGTGTTCTGCTTTTGAAGGTTGGGTGAGATTTGGGAGTTTTGGTGGGGTTTGAAGATATTTATAGAAATGCAAACGCGGTTGCTTTTTAAAGTCTTACGGAAGTCGGAAGGAGGTTGTTCTTTGTTGACTAATTTTATTTCCGCTTTCTTTTACTTTCCCCCTTTTCAGCTATGACGTAAGAAAAACACTAAATTCTACATACTCACGGTCTGATTTTAAAAAATTCAGACATAGAGATAATTAGGTACAGTATATGGTAATGGAAGATAATAAAAATAAGTAAACGGTAACAATAACAATATGTTTTATTTTTATTTTTTTTAACATCAAAAAAGTTTCATTAAGAAAGAGCTCATAATATGGAAATCGGAAATTGGCACCAATAACAAAAAAACTTTATAATTAGCTATATAACCAAAGAAAAAAAAAAGTTGTGATATTTTTTATATAAATTATGATATATACCATTTTATCTCTAAAAATACCACATAATCATCTCTTTCATCTTTTATATAATGTTTTGTGCACAACAAATTTGTTTACCCTATTTCATCTTCTTTATTGTATAATTAATATTAGATTATTAATCAACTAAATCTTAATCTTGTATTTGTATTAAAAATCAGATTTTTTTCTGTACATATAATCCTTTTCAACGGTTCAACCACCACTCTGGAAAAAGTTTCCAATCATAGCTCCAACAAGGAAGAATTAGCCATCATTTTCAGCCTACCTTTCTTCTTTTAACCAGTAACTTGTTCCTCATTGAACTGGACACAGAAGACTGTTGTTGCCTTTGTTGGAAGAAGAGATAACATATATCAACAAACAATCATGAAAGAGAAAAAAGCTATTGTGAAGATAAGAGAATCAAATGATTTGATCTTTTCTAAACCAATGTATATACTATACTATTTTGTGTTCTATGTTATTCAAATGTATATACTATACTATTTTATTATGATGAGGGTAAAAACGATAAAAAACAGTGTTTTTAGTTAGATGTTTTATTATCTGTTTTATATGGCTATATTCTTTAATATGAACTCCAATATGTATATACGCCAAATTAACCCTATGGAAATCCAGAGAGTTCAAAACAGGTAGAAACATGAAAAAGAAAAAAACCACAATTTAGCATCATACTCCTAATATGAAAAGAAGGAAAGATGCTACTAGTGAGAGTCCTGAAGTTTAGCGAGCGGCTACGCTTTCCACGAGTGTATGCAACCAGCTTGCCCCCTCCCCCCCCCTCTCCTAAAGTAAGATAAGGTTGGAATCTGCCATCTCATGTGATGCTTCTTGCTATTTTTCGTGCAATCTTATTCGCCGCAGGTGATCCCAATTCTATGTCACAATACTCAAAGGTCGAAAGGAGTGAGAGGTAATGCGATATAAGAACGTTATACTTTGGCTATTGCTGTGGTTTTGAGAGAGCTTCGTAGGCTGAGGTACAGTCCTTGGTAACTAAAATATTGCGATATCTCAAATCCCTTAAGTTTTGGAGAGCTCATATGATGCATCTGAGCTCAACCACCGTTCTGTTCTGAGATTTTGTGAATGCCTCTCTTACATTCCCACGTATATCTCTTGCTATCCATGCTCCTCCGTTCTGCATATGCTCATTTCTCCAGTGCTGTAGTAGTGGTGCTTGTATCTATGGTTCTCTGATTCACCATCAACCATGCATGCGCATCGCGACTTAGTTTCTGCACTAATACCATTATTGCCTTATGTTTGCCTTCATACAAAATAGCATTCTGATTCATCCATATATTCCAGATAAGCCATGGTATTGTTTAATTATGAGGCTCTATCGGACTATTGAGGTCTAGTAATTCTAGCATGAAGGCTAGATTTTCTTTTAGTGAGTTCGAGAAACCTCCATGTGGGGTTCGTATTGCTAATTCCTGCTATCATGTCTTGAGCCATAATACACCTGAATAAGACATGGTTGATGGTTTCTGTGTCTTGTCTGCATAGTTTACAGCTTATATCCAGTGCTAAACCCCGGCTCTGGAGTCTATCTGCAATTACCAAGGCCCCGAAATCACCCTCCACATGAAAAAACACATATTTGGTTCTGTTCTGGTTTTTCAGATACGCTGCTTTAGTCTATTTTTTGACATCTTGAAGAACTGTTGTAGGAGTGTTCGGGATCAAAGGGTGGTTTGAAATTAACCAGGAACCACTTTTGACTGAATGTCCACTATTCGAAGTATAAGCCCATACATATTTGTCCGGCGTATTCCCAAGGGGTATCTGTAAAAGTCTCTCTGCATCTATCGGAGGGAAAAGCTCTTGAACACGCTCTTGTCTCCATTTTCCAGTAGGTAGTATGAGAGCTGCAACGTCTAAATTCAGGTCTATTGATCTTTTTCAATTGGCTGGTCTTCTAAGATGATCGTCCATTATCCATTTTTCCAGCTATACCTTTGTTGTGGCTCCATCTCCAATGACTTTGATGAGTCCTCTTGATAACAATTCCTTCCCATGAAATATGCTTCTCCATGCATATGAGGGCATGTATCCTTTGCCACAGTCTAAGAATCCTTTATAGCCAAAGTAGCATCTCTTATACAGTCTGGCTAGCAGCGATTGAGGTTCATTAACTATCTTCCAGGCTTGTTTGGCAAGCAACACTTGGTTGAAATCACTGAGCTCCCTGAATCCTAAGCCACCTTTTGCTTTTTGATATCTCATGCATTTACATCATATAAGCTTGCATTTAGTTCATGTTTTGGTTTATTTTTGCATGTTTTCCTTCTCTTTAGTCCCATTTTCCTTTCCTTTTAGACTTAGGTTGCATTTAGGTTGTAGTTTGCATTCTTTATGCATTAAGGATGCTTTTAGGTACTTAAAAAGCTTTATGGAGCAAGGAGGAAGTGTGGGAATGGTTCAAGGAGTTAGCCAAGCTGAGAATGAGCAGAAGGAGCTAAGGAAGGCGATTTCTGGTGTTCCATCGGTCATGGCATGAAGCACATCGGTCAATGGTGACCGATACAAAGCAACAAAGAAGCAGGTGAATCCCATCGGTCATCTGCATCGGTCACTTGTGACCGATGAGAAGAGACATGACACCTGCATCGGTCAGGAGCATCAGTCAAGACTGACCGATGGGATCCAAGCGAGTGTTTGAAGATTTGCATCGGTCATCTGTATTGGTCATCAGCAAATCGATGGAAAGCAAACGAGTGGAGCATCGGTCATCCCCATCGGTCACTTGTGACCGATGCAAACCATTCCGAACATCCTTTTATTTACAACTTTGCCATTATGTTAGGGCTTTTGTCATTTAGTATAAATAGGCTTGATCTAATGTTTTTAGCATCAAGTCTTGTTCTTGCTTAGTTTTAAGGGTTTTCCAGTTTTTGTAAGAACAAGTCTATCATTTTAATCAAAGTTTTGTACTTGCCTTTTAATTTCTTCTCTAATGTCTCTCTTAATCATGTTTCACATCATTTACTCTTGTGATTTGGTGTTTCTATGGTGATGAGTGAGTAGATCTCTTAGGGTTCTTAGATGTGGTAGATTAGAGGAATTTAGAGTCTTGATTAGGATTTGTTAGTGCTTAATTAGGTTGATTCCTCTCTATTAATCTGTTCTTAAGCTAGATTTGTCTTGATCACATGAATCTAAATATATGCTTCATCTTTTGCCCACCAAGTGTTTGATGAAATGCTGATCTTGTTTAATAGAGGATTTACTGTCCCTAGCTCAAGAGATTGACTGTTTGAGGAGTATTTTGACTTGAATAGAGTTGGTTATTCATGCTTGTTGATTGTTCTAGCACTAATGAGAGTTAGTTCTTGTTAGGATGATTAGCAAATGGTTATTTGTCAAGAGATTAGACTTAACTTGCTTGATTGTGAACTCTATGTCTAGGAATTATCATTGATTGCTTGTTTGCTTCATCAATGGTGTTTGAAACAGCCTAAGTCTTGCCTTTGAATTCCCCAAAGTCAATAACCACATATAGGAACTTGTTTTCTCTTATTTGAATTTCGAATTTTGCTTTAAATTCTCTGTTTTATTGCTCTGTTTTGCTTTTGATCATTGCTAAGTTGTTCTCTTTTGAGTTCTGTTTGGTGGTGGATCACTTAGGTTGATAGTTTTAGTTGTGTAAACAACAAAATCTTCTTTGATTCCACCTGACTTAAGGCTTTCTGCTCACAGTTCTATTGGCATCTAGCTTAACTCCTTTGGATTGATAAAAACCCTATGATATACTACAACTGACTAGTACAAGCAGGGTGATTGAGAAAGAGACTCAGAACTTGTGTATCACTTTTGACTTACACATCTCCTTCCATGAAACCCAGTGAATTTTCTTCTTCTTTTCACAAGCATTCCACCAGAAGCTCGTTATTGCACTTGTGATCTTCTGACATTGGTGTTTAGTGAGTTTGAAACACGACATTGCATAAACTGGTATGCTATTGCAATTGATTTAAGTAGAACCTCCTTTCCACCCAGTGAGCGTTTTAGCGTACCAGCCATTCAGTCTCTTATCGAGCTTTTGCACTAATAAAAGCCATAAGATCTCTTTTAGATCCATTGAAGCATTCAGGGAGACCCAAATATTTCCCATCTCGCCTTCTTTAGTGATCTCCAATCGTTCAGCTAGCAGCATTTTCATGATGGGATCAATCGCTGCTCCAAATGTGATTGCTGATTTTTGAAAGTTTATCTCTTGACCTGAGGCATCGCCATACAATTGTAGGCATTTAAGGAATTACGTGCATTCCTTAAGGTTAGATCTGCATAGGAAGAGGCTATCGTCTGCAAACAGCAGGTGTTGAATCGAGGGACAATGTTTCGATAATTTCATGCCTTTTAATCGTTGTTCCTCTTTAGATTTATTCATGACATGCACCAAAGATTCTGTGCAAAGGATGAAGAGAAACGGCGATAACGGATCACCTTGACAAAGTCCTCTCTCTGGAGTGATGTGGCCATGCGC